AAAGCGAAAGATGGTTTTCAAGGTGTTTTTGTTGGAGAACCGTTTAAACATGCCAAAGAGTGAAAACTAATCATAAAAAGTTGAAAACCACTTGGTTGGTTCGGACGCCAAAAACCATAGCCGATAACCGAGAGTCGAACGCCGGTCTCTGAAACCCGAACGCCGGATGGCTTGGTTTTTGGTTTGGGCGAACACCAAGTGTTTTTAATGACTTAAACATGTTTGAAAAACATTTTTATGATTTAAGAAATGCAATGAAGGATTTTAGCCTAAAGAGCCAAGGTGTAAAGATTGGGTCGGTCTTGATCACAATGAAGACCGACTCAACGACACTAAGACTAAGGTCTTCGTTCTTGGTCTTCTTTTATCTCTTGTTCTTGTCTTCCTTCTTCGCCTTGTATATTCAAAGTTTGACTTGATCACGGAGGCCTGTCACAAAAGCGAACACGACTTTAGTACGAAAACGTGACATGCCCGTGTTTCAACAATTTCCCCCTTTTTGATAATGGCAAACGAGATGAGGTTATGCATATGAGGAAGACTTAGAGACTTAAAAAAATGTTCCCCCTTAATAGTTGCCATTTTATTTTAAAAAGAATTCTCCCTCAATTTATGCATAACCTTGATATCTTCCCCCTTTTGACATTAACAAAAAGAATTAAAAGTGAACTTTAGAGTTTAAAAGTGAACTTTTATTCATTAAAAAAGGAGAAAATGCGGAATACAACAGAATGGAAATAATAATAAAAAGGACAATCATAGTAAGGAAGAAAAAAAGAAGAGTCTAGGCAGCGGCGTCCTCGTCCTCGGCGTCATCGTCTTCTTCGTCGTCCTCAACGTCCATGGGATCCCCGTTGACCGCGTCCTCAAAATCAGCCTCGCCAGGGGAGGAAGACGGAGCATAGGAGTCATCCTCCTCGTCCTCGCCTACATAGTTCTGGCCGAGGATGGTGCTGTCAAAGGGCGGCGGGACATATTTGATGCCGCGGAAGAATGCTGTCATGTCATGGTGTTGACGTTGCAGCGTCCAATCCATCCGCTCGATTGACTGCCCCATGCCATCCATTGTGAGGGTTAGCCGATTCAGAGTATCGGCTATGGACTGTAAGGACGCCTTGGCGGGAGCGGGGGCAGGGGCACGGGCACGACTCGGTCCAGCGCCGGTTCCGTCACCGGACTTCTTCCGGAAGGTGCTGTCTTGGATGATCCAAATCTTTGTCATCTTCGTGTTTGGGCCGGCGATGTGGATTTCGGCCGCGACAATGAGATCCATGACGAGGAAGGCGTAGGGCAAGCTCCTTTCGGTGGCGATTGAGGCGCAATCCGCCATGTGGATCATGACGTATTTCGCCCAATTGATCGAGGCGCCATGGGTGATTGCATGAACGGCCTTGAGATCCTCGTTGAAGAGACATGTGTGGCTGCCGTCCCGGGGGCGAAGAATTCGGGTGAGCATGTAGAGTAGAAGGCGCTTCTCCGGCGGGGCTGAGTGAATGGTTGGTGCGCCGTTGTGACGGACGAGGTTGGTGATTCCAAGCTCTCGGATGACCACCGCCTCGTTGTTGAGGATCCAATCATCGCCACCATAAGTCGCGATGTCGTCACCGCGAGTGGGCAAACCTGCGATCCGGGCAAAGATAGCCAAATCAAACTCGAAGTCCACGAGATTGATGCTGCTGCGAATAGTGTCCCCGTCCCGGCGGAGATTGGAGTAGAATGCCCGAACGTAGGCGGGATTGAAGGAGGTGCGACTGCGGGAGACGAAAGGCCACAGACCCGACTCCTTGAGTTGATTGTCAAGGTCGTAGTAACCCTTTTGTTGAGGGTATAGCTCGGGTAGCACTCTTGGCGGAGAGATGGGGCGTTTGGCGAAATAGGTGATGAAACGAGAGAGTTCCTCTTCCGACCCAAACTCCAAGAAGGATCCGTCCAGGTACGGAAAGGGTTGAGGCGCAGAGCTCGTGGCCTCGGTGACGGTCTTCTTCTTAGAGGCCTTGCTCTTGGTTTTTCCTCCGGGCATGACAGCGTTACTTACCAAAAACTGATGAAGAGAGTGATATTTGATTAGGAGATAAAGAGTTGGAGGAAAATTGTGATTAGAAAAGGTAGGATATGATGTATATTTATAGGAGAAAGGAGAGAACCGTGTGAAATTTTAAAAACACTAGCTGTTGGGCCATTAAATGTGGTTCCAACGGTTAAATTTTTTTTTGAAAAACTGCAGGCTCCCATCGATGGTATGATCTGCCCATCGATGGGATGGTCATCATTGGAAAGCACGGAAGAAAATAAAGCTGCCTTCCCATCGATGGTCAAACTCACCCATCGATGGGAGGTTGGCTACTGGAAATCCGATAAGACGTTGTTAAAAAATAGAGTCAAACACCCAGCGATGGGAAAAACTTCCCATCGATGGGAGGGGAGGTTCTGGAAAAAGTGTTTTTGGCAGAAGTCCTTTACCCAGCGATGGGATGAAGTACCCATCGATGGGTAGGGTGTTTCTGGAAATACGTTAAAAGGTTTTAAAAAAAAAGAGTCAATTACCCATCGATGGGAAGAAACACCCATCGATGGGAAGAGGGGTTCTGAAAAAAAATAGCACTTCCCTCCCAGCGATGGTACAATCCACCCATCGCTGGTTCCCCCTGATTTCCAGAATTCTTCACTTCGAACCGTCCCTGCAAAAAGGAGTTAGAAAACCCTCCGACGCTCAAGTTAGTAAACGTTCCAGTAACAATAAAAGAATGATAAAATGCACAAATTAGATCATCGTGGAGTCAAGGATTCCGAGTTCACTACGAATGCGGAAGAACGACTTTTTCTCTAAAGGTTTTGTGAAAATGTCGGCTAATTGGTTGTGTGTTTCAACAAACTCAATTTCGACATCACCTTTGAGAACATGATCTCTAATGAAATGGTGCCTAATGTCAATGTGTTTCGTCCTTGAATGAAGAACGGGGTTCTTCGTCAAGCTAATGGCGCTAGTATTGTCACAACGAAGAGGAACGTGACTGATACTAAGGCCATAGTCCACGAGTTGTTGCTTCATCCAAAGGATTTGAGCACAACAACTACCGGCGGCAACGTATTCCGCTTCGGTTGTGGATAACGCAACACTGACTTGTTTCTTGCTAAACCATGAAACTAAAGAACTACCAAGTAAGTGGCAAGTCCCACT